TGGCGTCAGCCTAGCTCACAGCAACCTCAATCTCCTGGGCTCAAGCAATCCTGCTGCCTCAGCCTCCCGAGTAGCTAGGACTACAGGCATGCACCACCATGCCCGGCTTATCCTCCTCTTTTCTTACGTAGGGCCCTGTGGGGGTTCTCTCTGGCTGGGCTGCTGGGCTCTATTGTATTATAGAGGAGATGGCTACCAGTAGCCACTGTCCAGAATGTTTTCTTCACACCTAAATCACAGTTTCTCGGTGTTTCCAAAGCCCTGTGCTACTTCTAAGCCTGCCAAATAAAACACAGGACACCCAGTTACACCTTAATTTCAGATAACCAATAAATAATGTTTTAGTATATGTATGTTCCCTTCAATAGATTAGTATACATGTGTTTTTTTTGTTTGTTTGTTTGTTTTTTTGAGACAGAGTCTCGCTTTGTTGCCCAGGCTAGAGTGAGTACCACCGTGGTGTCAGCCTAGCTCACAGCAACCTCAAACTCCTGGGCTCAAGCGATCCTCCTGCCTCAGCCTCCTGAGTAGCTGGAACCACAGGCATAAGCCCCTGTGCCCAGCTAATTTTTTCTATATATATTAGTTGGCCAATTAATTTCTTTCTATTTATAGTAGAGACGGGGTCTCACTCTTGCTCAGGCTGGTTTCGAACTCCTGACCTCGAGCAATCTGCCTGCCCCGGCCTCCCAGAGTGCTAGGATTACAGGCGTGAGCCACCGCTCCCGGCCTAAATGTGTTTCTTGCAATAGTTTATCCCATCTGTCTATCCATCACAGATAGATAGCCTTTAAAAAAAAAGTATTTGTTGTTTATCTGACAGTCACATTTCCCTGGGCATTCTGCCTTTCTCTTTGCTAACTCTGGCCACCCTCTTTCCCACAAGAGGGAAGTGACTTTCTGCTAATGCTGAAGTCCCTGGCACCTCAAGAAACCCACCCAGCTGAGGCTGCCCTGCCACCTTGACGTGTTTCCTGAAGGGTGGGCTGACCAACTAAGAAAAAGCGTGACATGGGCCAGAGCTGGGGGGTGGCTGTGCTGTCATCAGTCCTCTCAGCTGCGTGGGGCTCTCCCACCACTCCCCACGCCGGCAGAATCTCTCCAAATCTTCCAGGGACTCACTTTTTTAGTTATTATATGGCCCTCCGTGCTCAGATGTGAGACCTTGGGCGCCATGCCAGAGGGGAAAACGGCGAAACTGCAATGACAACAGGTTTAGAACCGTCCCTGCCCCACCCCCATGGGGGACAGGGCACAGTGCATGCCCATGGCCTCAGAGTGCCCTCCCAGGCAAATGAGGTCCAAGTAGTCTGCCCCCTCAGTCCCTGCCACAGACGGGGCCGGGACAGCGCACACAGGGTAAGCTACCCCGTGTCTACTTCATTTTCCCGGGTCTGAGACACCATCAGGTGGAACACAGGAGTAAGTCTGTCCGCTGGGGAGCTGGGCACGCAGAAGGACTGACAGATGAGATCTTCTCCCCTCATTAGAGTCACAGGGGAGGGGAAGAATGGGAGGAAGGGGAGGAGGAGAGAGCATCCATTATTGGATAAAAATTATAGAAAATTATAGCCGTTTCTGTCGCAGGGAGCAGATTTGGGCAGCTGGGGCACAGACTTACGAGTTCCTAAAATCAGACCTGAGGAGCTGGGGTTGGGGTGGAGAGAACGAGAATCTTCTGCATTCTTCTATGACGCTAAGATCCTTTCCTGTTTCAAGGTTGTGCTGTTTCTCTCCCAGGGAAGGCAGAACCTCTGGACCCAGGGTGTTCGCCCACTTGTTACTCTGACCTATACCCACGGTGCCCCCGGCAGGATTCGTTTTCAGAAGTAAGAGGCCACTTTCTTAACAAAGCTACCGAGCAGTCATGAAAAGCACTACAGCTGCTGCCTTAGAAATGACAGGTGTCCCTTCACGGTGGACATTTTGTGCCAAATGCATGGAAATTCCCCTCTGGCTGCTCCTCCTCCTCCTCCTTTTGCCATCTCCTGTCGGTCCTCCCAGATCCGGACGGTCCTCCGGTCCCTTTCCATTCCTCAGCCGTTCAACCCCTACATTCTTCTCACCCTGTTGCTTGGTCTCGACCCTAACTTAATCAAGTGGCAATGATCAAAATCGGAGAGAATTCCCGGCTGAGCTCTGGGACGCACCTCCACCTGCGAGGAGCACATTCTGGGCGGGTGTCTGAAAAGTGCCAGGTCGTGTTGAAGGTATTTGCTGAAAGCTTGTTCTAGAAGGTCGACAATCAGTGCATCACAAGGGACGGGCAACCAGGAGTGGAGGGGACAGCTAGCTCCCTTGCTGCGGCAGGGAACAGAACTTGACCACATCAGGGCAAATTAAATGCTGATTGAAACGGTTGTATTTCCTTTTGTCTTTATTTAGTATTATCTTTTTAATTTGGTGAGAAGCCTGGGAGGAGGATTTAGGGGGTGGGATTGATCTGTTCTGACCAGAATGATGACTCCCAGTGATTTCCCTGGATTAAGTCAGGCTCCAAGAAGACTGCAATTTTCTCATTGCGGGAGCGTCTCAAAAACATTAAACAGCGAAAGTTTATTGAACGCCTATCGTGGAGCAAGGCTGGCAGGAATGGAGAGAAACAAAGATGAAAAAGACATAATCCACATCCTCCAGGAGCTTACAAGCTAATGAGGGAACCGGCCACGTAAACAGGACACACGATGGATTCGCTGTTTATTACATAATAAAGCACAGCCCCATGGGTCCTCGAGACCCTCTTGGGAAAGTGAAAGTATGACTATGTTCATAATCATACTATAACATTCTTTGACTTTTGCAGAGGCTACAGGATGTGTAATAATGACAGTGCCCTGACTGCCAGTGGAATGTATTCGTATCTATTCTTGAGTTAAAAAGAAAACAGCCCTCAGCCTTAATCTCTAATGCACCAATAGCCATAGCAATAGGTAAAAAGTACACATGCAGAAGTTCTTTGAGGTCCTCAACAATCGTGAGTGTGAAAGGATCCTGAGGCCAGAAAGTTTGAAAAATACAATGACAACATATCACCTACCACTACACAGTGCCCTTGTTTCTCATCGGTGCCCTTTAGGCAGCAATTATTTTATCGAATGCCATGAAAATCACTTCATTGGATGCTGCTTCTATATCCTTATTTTCCGGACTCATAGCTATTAGGTCATCTAATTATTAATCTGTTTGTGTCTTTGGGTTTAAATGTGTCTTTTGAGGCTGCACAATGTTGGACTTCATTTTTTAATGGAGCCAACAATCAGCGATTGTTGACGCATTTGTCTTGTGTTCTGTTACCCTGCAGTTATCTTACTCATTGTTATTTTCGCGTCCTCTGAATTTATGATTTCTGTCATGCACTTTAAAATTCCTCATTTCTTTTTCATCAGACAATAAACTTCCCTCGTCTGCCCATCTTTCTATCATTTCAGCATCGTCATATTTTAAAGCAGATGTTCATTGTTTCCTGCAATTTTACTGTGAATAGTATAGGATTAAGCAAACAAACTTTATACTTCCTTCCTTCTAGGGATGAAAGTGGAGTCCAATCTGTAACATAAAACTTAGTAGCATAAAGACCTTTATGACGTTATACAGATATATCTTGCAGTTCTGAAGTTATGTAATCTAATTTTCACTTGAACATTATCTTTTTTCTATTTTTGTCCTCCATGGACTTTGAGCTCTATCTAGCCCTCAACTGTTCTTAAATCTCCACTGTGTTCTGGAAGTGGACTTCACAGCTGTGGACCTTTGTTGACAAATTATTTCATCTCCTCTGAGTCTTAAATTATTTTCTCTTACTCTGAAGTGAAAATTCACTGAGTGTTTCCAGATACTGTACTTGGGCTCATAACTCAATTTCCCCTGAACCTCAGTATAAATTCTGTCCCTCTACACCCAACTCCTATCCCTCCTCCAAAGCACTCATGCTCATTATCACATTTTAATTTTTTCTCTGTTCTGTTGGTAACTTGCAGAACTCAGGATTGCTTTGTGATGGGGTAATTTTCAGGATTTGGTTGGTTGGTTTTGAATTGAAAAGCTTAACAATGACACATCTTAAATTCTTCCTTTGAGGATTGTTCCTTAATGAATTCTTGCTACAGACATACCGAGGTGGTTATTTTTACATTTCCCTGATAATAAATTCTAAATTGCTAGGGGTTTCTCCTCCCTGGTCCTTTTACTGTTATTAGATCTATTTTTAGCTGAGATGTGGGCGTCCCGGGCTAGTTTCATTTCAGTAGTGCTAGTTCCACTTCAATAGTGCTAGTTCTTTTTTCTTTCTCCCCAAGTCTCCTCTTCCTAGCATCTTCTCCATGTTTCTTATTCCTCCGTAGCACTTACAAGACCCAGTTTAATAGCTTCGTGCCTTTTGTCTTGACACTCATTATTTCTTCTTTATTCTCTGTGAAAGTAATAAGTGTATCCTCCATTGCAGTAGCCTGAGTGTCTTGAACCCGTCTTGGGTTTCCTGCCACCTGGGTTCTGGCTGACTTGCAATCTCCCTTTGATGTTGTAATACTTTTTCATTGAATTTGAGTGTGGGGCTTATAGGGCTTGTTTGTTTCTATTGTTTCCCCCCAAGATGTGCACATTTTTTTTCTTAAGCTTATTTTGCTGTTTTATGCTGTTATTTTTAATTGGTTCCGACTAGGGGTAGGACTGGGAGAGTGAGATTTGGCTTGAATTTAGCTGTCTTTGCTATTACTCACATTTCCCCCAGAAACCCCACACACGTTCCTCTCTCTCTCTGTCTGCCTTTGACTAACCACTTTTGAAAGACCATTGATCCCTGACGTAAATGATGCTAGGAGGAAGATGGACTCGGGCTAGGGATGCTCAGGAATCCAGTCCTGTACAGTCATGAGCTTGGCCATCTGGAAGTCTCCTCTTGCTCAATGAAATGGAGTAAACATTGTCCATTATGAAATCCACCACGCAGGCTGCCAGGGACGAATGGGATCCCACCCAAAGCCAATCGCTGCTCTGACAGGGAAATTGGCTAGCACTGCCTGAGACTACTCCAGCCTCCCTGATGTCACAATTCAGAGGCTGCTGCCTGCCTAGGAGGTTGTAGAAAGCTCTGTAGGTTCTCTCTGTGTGTCCTACAGGGCTCTTCCGGCCAGGTCCCTGTCTGATGGCTTTTATGAAAAAATATCTCCTCCCCGCTCTGGGGCTCCTCTTGGCCTACAACTACTATTCTGCAAATGAGAAATTCACACCAGGTAAGTGCCAACGTGTCTCATTTTGGAGGAATAGGTTAAAAGACAAAGGGATGCTGGAGTGTTCCTGAGGGTCAAGATGGGTTCTTGATCCCCAAAGTCCCTGGAGGTGGGACTGTGTTTCTATGTCCTCCAGCTACAGGCTGTGGGCAGGAGGGGTGTGGGGAGGGGTAATCGTGTAGCCAAAAGCTTGCCAAATGGTCCATGCTTGATTTGGCACCCTTAATGGAAAGCAATTTCCAATCTCCTACAAAAATGAGGGTAATACCCAGATTTACAACTCAGCCAGATAATTGGGCTCAACGGAGAGACGGATAAGTGGGAGGCAGAAAAATCCTCTGGAGTTGATGACTACACAGAAGTGAGGGAAAATCCCAGAAATCGCTGTGAACACATGTGTTTTGGTTCCTTTTTCAATTTTCTTTCAATTGAGCAAAATCGGATGAGTCCAGAAATGTCTGGAACTCCGGCGTTTTAGCTGAACCACGACTATTCTGGCCTTGTCCTATGATCTCAGTCCATGAAGATTCTTAGAAATGACAGCAGGGAGCCTAGGTTTTGAGCAACCAGGCCAAACCCCCACGTGAGAGCATGTTTACTGCTCTCTCGGTGATTTACACAGTGTGAGACGAAGTGATCTGGGCTCGTAACCCTCAAGGTTAGAAACTGAGATAAAGCCTCCCGTATCAAGAGAGGGAGAGGGAAAGTTGGTGCCAAGTTGGGTGTGGTCCTCACTTCCTTTTGGGGTTCCCCAGAGATGCTCCAAGGAAAGAAAGTGATTGTCACAGGGGCCAGCAAAGGGATCGGAGAAGAGATGGCTTATCATCTGGCCAGGATGGGAGCGCATGTTGTTTTGACAGCGAGGTCAAAAGAAAATCTACAAAAGGTGAGGGTTCTATGCCCACAGACGCACGCACCCTCATGTGCCCAGATGTGTTCTCGTATATGCTCACATATACACACGCTCTACAAACTCACGTATAGCAGAAGCCAGCACATGCATACAAAGATACACACACATACATGCCTAATCTTGCACTTTCATATGCAGGTTCAAATACTGAAACACCCACATATAAAAGTATGAATCTAAGCATTCACTCATATATATATATATATATATACACAGTGTATATTGAGCCACAAGATTCTTGAGCTATATATGCTGATAGACATGCCTAGTCATGCACATTTACACATGGAACCACAGACATATAGGGATGTTTGCGCATATCAAAATACCTACTCATAAATACATATCCTTATACGCACGCAGACTCTCAAGACACACGCCGTCTCAAAAACTTACAAACCCAGGGATATACAGACACTCACAAACCTAGAGCTACCCACGGAGTAACCAGCATCCATCCCCATAATGCATTCAGAAATATCTACTCCCAGAAACCCAAGGCCATAAAGCAGCGACTTAAATCCCAGCACAGTGATGACTTACCCACTTAAACCCCACCATGTTCTAGAAAATCTTTCAGACAAAGGACAAGGGTTGTATTTAGCGACACGTGCATACACATACACACACACATATTTCTCGTCTACACCTTACCTATTTCTTATCTAAACAGGGCTGTGAGCAATCTCTCAATTAAGCTCTTGTTACTTCAAAGACTGTCCCCAAATGTCCACAGCCAGGGCTGATGCTATTTCTGCTGTGTCACGCAGGTGGTGTCTCACTGCCTGGAGCTTGGAGCGGCCTCAGCACACTACATCGCGGGTACCATGGAAGACATGACCTTCGCAGAGCAATTTGTTGCCAAAGCAGGAAAGCTCCTGGGTGAGGCTGCTTCTCTCCCCTCCTCCTCTGAGCTTAGCCCTAAGGAACCACCAAAGAGCTTGTGGGAAGGGAAGGGAGAAGGTATCAAACCCCAGACGCTGTCTCTCAACACAGCCATCTCTTGCAGGGGGACTAGACATGCTCATTCTCAACCACATCACCAACACTTCTTTGAATTTTTTTCACAATGACATTCACCACGTGCGCAAAAGCATGGAGGTCAACTTCCTCAGCTATGTGGTCCTGAGCGCAGCTGCCTTGCCCATGCTGAAGCAGAGCAATGGAAGCATTGTCGTCGTCTCCTCGCTCGCTGGTGAGTGGGACAGGGACCACTGTGGAAGGTAGGAGCCAAAGTACGCGAGGGATGGTGCTAGCCTCTGGAGTGAGCGTGAGTTTTTACCTGCTTCCATGCAGAAAGGTAACACAAAATTAACCTGAAGTCGAAATGCTCACAGCGATATTAAGCCAAAGCTGGTTAATTGCCCATACTCATGGACAGGCAGATATGCACATAATAAGAGACTTGGGTGTGCCAACTTGATGAAGGCATGCATGCTGAGTAGAAGAGATGCTGCTAAGAATCAGCAGAATGAGGGATCGGTCAAGGTAGGTGAGCCCCAGAATTCCTAAATAAGTGTAACAGTGAAAAGGCAGTAGTTCAGAGTGCCCACTGGAAGCCTGGTTTGTGATCTACAAATGGAAGGTCAAAGGGATGCCCAGAGGCTGCTGGGGGTACAGTCTGTCCTGGTCCTAAGAGACAGACCTGGTCACAATGGCTAAAAAGGACTTTGCTTCCTCCATGACCCAAAGCCGTAAGTTGGTAAAGTTAGCTGAGACGTGAAATATCTTAACAACATACAGTTGTCTGATAAGTGGGTTAAGCTATGGCTAAATAAAATGAACAACAACAAAAACAGACTAATAGGCCTACCGATATTAGAGGCTCTCTCCAATATCTAAACTTGTTACATAAAAAGGCCAATGTAATCAACCTGCTGGGTAAGGAGGAAATGTGTACGAAGAAACGTCTCTTATCTATGGGGTCGAGAGAGGTCCCTGATGCCTTAGATGATGACAGCTTCAGGAGCCTTCACCAGTATAAAAAGCCAGAGAGTTTCCAGCTTGGGGGACTCTTGGGCCCATTTCTTCATGGATCCAGGAGGGAAGTTCTTACACATCTTTGTTGATTAGTCAGTTAAAATGATGTGGTTGGAAGGTCCAAATATCAGGATCAAATCAACCATCTAAGTGTAGCCCCTGGCACTATAAAAAGAAATAACATAGAGAACTCGATAAACTGTGAAGTAGTTTGCAAACTGACGTTGCCAGGAGTTCTTTCTCCTTTCTGGCCCAGGAAAGGCCTGCGTAGTGATTGGCTAACGGGGCAGTGGGTCTCTGTTGCCAGCCAAACAGGGCGATTGACATGTACCCCTGTGCTTCCCAGATGACACAGACTCTCTCTGGGCTGAAAGGGAGGGAGAGCTTCCAGAGGCATGCTGAGTGGGAGGGTGCCGGGCACATCCCCAATCCATTCCAGGGCATTGGCCAAAACCCTCACATCAGTCACGGTGTAGGTGGTTTTAATGATTTCAGTTGATTAAATAACACATTCATTCTAGGCAAAGGACGTGTTTCACCTTTGGTTGGAGACCTTAACTTTCTGTAAAGTACACGCAATCTGAATGCGCTTGGAAGGAATAAGAATTATTTTCAAAGCCCAAGGACATGATGAAACTCTGATAACCTGTTTCCATATATCTCCTACACCTACTGAATGACACTTGGTAATTTCCATGAACTCTGAGAGGTGGAAATCTAGTTGGACGACTATCCCTTGTTTGGATAGCTATTGTTTGGAGGGCCAAAAGAGTTCAGCCTTTTGGCTTTGAAACATGTCTATAAACTTGCAAAGTACAGGCACTTTGCTTTCTCTCCCTCACTTAAGAATATTCGATGTTCTATGATGTATTCTTTTAAACAGTCAGTAAACATGTTCATTAATCCTTCCCCCTTGAAATCTGGATTCCATAAACATGGGATGCTAAACACCAAATTGATGCTAAGGTCAGCCAAGGAGTATTGGGACGGAGTTTTCATCATTTCTTCTAGGGAATGCATTAGGTTGTTTATTGAATTACAGTGATAAACAACTGTTTTAATTTCCAGTGCCTTTTGAGGCATTGCATTACGTGGAAATCCTACACTTTTAATATGCTCTTTAAAGGCTTGTTTCCTTCTTTATTAATAACAGAGACAGTATTTCTGCTTCTGGGAACTTCTTTAGGGCACACATCCATCCACTTTTCAACACCTTCTTTGGCACCTACTGCTTACATTTCTTGCACGAGTAACATCCAGTTACATTAATTGGTCTCCCCTCCTAACACTGCAGTGTTGGTTTGGATACAAGTTCAGCTACTGTAACAAAGACCCAAATTCACAATGGTTTAAGCCAGGGGTCCTCAAACTTTTTAAACAAGGGGCCAGTTCACTGTCCCTCAGACCGTTGGAGGGCCGTTGGAGAGTGCGGTGCACATTCCACACATGCGCACTGTGGGCTGGGGACAGGTCAGCTGCTAAGCAGGACAGGCAGTGGGGGCAAAAACACCTGGTGGGCTGGATAAATGTCCTCGGCGGGCCATAGTTTGAGGACACCTGGCTTAAGCAAATCTAAATTTCCTTCTCTCTCATACTGGGGCAGGCAGTCCAGGGCTGATATGGTAGTTTTGCCCCACGAGGCTGTCCGGAAACCCTTCTGTCCCAGAACCACCACTCTTAGGGTGCTGTTTCTACCTGCACGTCCAAGACGGTTCACTGTGATGCCTGAATTCTAGTTCAAGAAAATGAAGAAAGCATGATACAACTTGAAAGTTGTACACTTCTGCCACAGCTGGCTGCAATTGTTGTGTTTATTCAAAGAGGACATGACGTGTCCAACTGCAAAATCAGGAGTTCTATTTCTATAAAAAAAAAATTGATATTGATAAACGACTAACAGCCACTCCTAATCACCCATGCCAAGAAACATATAAGACTGGAAGGAGGTACACCTTCTAGGCCATCCCACATATGAACCCCAGCCCCCCACACACATCAGACCCACTCTCTCTCTCACATTCAAAGCCCATCACAAAAATCAAAACCCTTCCATCAGGCAGTGGGTGCAAGGGACAGTGGGGTAGGAGAAAGAATGGACAGAGAATGCCTAGATGGCATTTGCAAAACCAACTGAGACAGGCCGGGCGCGGTGGCTCACGCCTGTAATCCTAGCACTCTGGGAGGCTGAGGCGGGCGGATTGCTCTAGGTTGGGAGTTCAAAACCAGCCTGAGCGAGACCTTGTGTCTACTAAAAATAGAAAATTAATTGACTAACTAAAAATGTATATAGAAAAAATTAGCCGGGCATGGTGGCGCATGCTTGTAGTCCCAGCTACTCGGGAGGCTGAGGTAGAAGGATCGCTTGAGCCCAGGAGATTGAGGCTGCTGTAAGCCAGGCTGACGCCATGGCACTCACTCTAGCCTGGGCAACAAAGCGAGACTCTGTCTCAAAAAAAAAAAAAACCAACTGAGACAGAGATATTCATACTTGAATGTGACTGAGAAAAAAAAAAAGTCACTGGATTGGGCAGAGAACGTTTGAAAACATCTGGAAAAAGTTTTATCTGTCATTAGTCAAAATAAGTTGTCTTAGGTTCAATTTTAGAAGAGGAAAGCCAATTCCGTTTTCGAGCCCTTTGGCGTCGTGAGCCCCGATCACTGTCGAGGGCGGTATCAGTGACACACACGTTGACAGCTAGAACACAGCGTCTATTACTGCGTCCCCACCCTTTACACCCTTCAGAGAAACCATGGACAAGCCCCATCAGCATCCTCTGCTCATTTTTCCTCTCTCAAAATCTACGTGGCCCCCCACCTCACACGAAGTCTCTTTCGGTACTCACCGGAGCCATTTAAGAGTTTCCTTTTTGTCGTCACTACATGTGGGTGACTTACCTTTAAACATCCTACTTCCTCTCAATTCCTCCTTCTTGGCGTCATGGGTAGCCCAAATACTACCAACAACAGGAATAACACAAATGCTAAACGCACTGGGTGAGCATACTTACACGTAGGGATAGCAATTTTTCTGTATCGAGGAAAATGCAAGGCATATTTTGGAGTGGAATTAGACGTAATAAAAGACTGGGTTTCTTTAAATGTTCAAAATGAAAATACTTCAAAAGAAATTAAAGAATCTTGTTAATGACATCTGAATGCTCAGACCTCACTTTGGAAGCTCCATAGGTGCCTCCAATTACCTATTCACTTTTCTACAAGTAAATCTTCTTTTAAAAAGATCAACTGCCAACTACATATAGAGATTCTTTTTTATCTTATTCAAATGGATTCTTTTTTCTGGTTTACTCATTCACAGCATCGTTTCACACTATTTTTCAAATGTAAATGTGCACTATTTTAGGCACATTGAGTAAGAATCAACAACCTGGACATAAAACTTCCAGGAGTCATTGTTGCCTAAATTTAAGAGATTCTGTTTGGGCAAAACCTGAAGGATTGAGGCAGAGCCTGCTGGATTTATCTGGAAGTTTGATGCTGTATCTGATCCAAAACTAAGGTTGTTGGGGTAGATTTGAAAGGCAGGAGGACTCTCTGATAAAGACAGTGACACTTTAGTGTAAGTTGAGAACAACATAATGCTATCCATGATAACTATTGCTCCATGTTCTCCCCTTGAAAAGCTGGGTGGAGCTTAAGTAGTCAAGGCTACCTAACCCTGCCAGACCGTGGGTTTCATTCAATTGTACTTGCGGATAAAAATAGCAAGATCCTACCATCATTTGTGTCTTTATGGTTATTCACCAAGGAGTTCAAGAAGGCTTACAACATATACATTCTATTTGGAAATATACACATGGAAAACTAGGTTTTAAGGAAAGAAGAATATAAATGTGTCAAAATTAAACTCAACATAGATGCTGTGCTTAAGTTTCAAATTTGGCTCTTGGATTTCTTAACAAAAAGTAAAAGAATAGGATCAGTTTACAGTTGGCTCTCTGTATCCATGGATTCTGCATAGATCAAAAATATTTAGGAAAAGAAAATTTCACAAAGTCCCAAAAAGCAAAACTTGAATTTGCCATGCACCAAGTATTACATTGAATCCAGTGATGTGCAGGCATTGTATTAGGTATTACAAGTAATCTAGAGATGATTCCAAGTGTATGGGAGGATGTGCATAAGTTATGCAAATTATATTTGCATACAGTTATGCATATTATATGAAAATACCATGCCATTTTATATAAGAGACTT